GCTACGAATCTACATCGAGAAGTTCAGAGCAGTTGGAACTAAGCTCTCGAACCCTAACGATCAAGTGGCCATCGAAGCCCTTAGGAGAGGCCTCTGGTATAAATCAGAATTCTGGTCCGAGCTAACACTTAACCCTCCTCCAACTATCGATGATGCTCTTCACAAAGCATCGAGATACATTACCTTGGAGGAAGAAACAACTGCACTGGATAAAATCCATAAGAAATCCCAGAATCACCCGAAAGGTGAAACCTCGGAAACAAAAGAACCCTCCAGAAAAGGGAGTTCTCGGAACCATCAGACCCAAGGAGAGCATTCGTATGTTGTCGACGAAGTCCAACAGGAAAAACCTGTTGCTGCGACAAGCAAAACCCCTGGACAAAAGGCTACGATGAGAACAAACACTGCTCTTATCACGATCGAAAATGGCACTCAACCGAGGAGTATTGGGACCTCCAACGACAATTGGCAGCTAAATTCGTAGCTGGCGAACTAAAGGATGTGGAACTAAAAAAGCCACCTCCTTACCAGAAAAGAGGTCCTAGAGACACCTCCCCAAAACGTGAAAGATCTCCTGAGAAGGAAACAGATTCGCCACCGCCAGCTCCCAAGAAAAGAGTTGACATGATTCTTGGCAAATTTCCCCAAGGGAAGGGTCCACAAATCGAGACTCTCCTAAGCAAACCACGACCTCATTCGAGCCCCAGCTCAAGAGTGGATTATATCCTCGGAGGCTCCGATATATGTCAAGACTCAGTTAATTCAATCAAGAGCCATGTGCGGAAGGCTGTTTCTAATGCTCAATCTAAGCCTCCCAATCCCGAATCCAACATTAAGATTTCTTTATGGGAGAGCGAGACATCAGATCTCGACAGACCTCACGACGATGCCTTAATTGTCACCCTGAACGTAGCAGGTTACGAGGTGCCTAAGCTGATGGTTGACACCGGAAGCTCGGTCGATCTTATCTTCTATAACGCCCTGAAAGGGATGGAAATAGATGACTACGAAATTATTGGTCAGAAAGCTAACCTTGTAGGCTTCTCCGGGGAAACAGTTACCTCCTTGGGAACCATCAAGCTCTCGGTCATAACTGGAGGAATCATGAAAATGACCAATTTTGTGGTCATCGATAGGCCTTCTCCATTTCATGCGATCCTAGGAAGACCCTGGATCCATAAGATGAAGGCAGTAGCTTCCACTTATCACCAATGCGTGAAATTTCCAACACCTGACGGAATAACCACCGTACGAGGTAGCCAGAAGATCTCCAGGATCTGTTA